CGGCGGCGCTGGGAATCTAAACTCCCGGCCGGGTCCCACTCTCCCTTCTCCTGGCCTGCGAGGCTGGCGCGAGGCGCGTCCGTGTGTGTGTGTGTGTGTGTGTGTGCAGCCGAGTATCCCGCACCCCGCCAGCGACCAGGTCTCCGGAGAAGAGCAGGCCGTCCACACCATTTCGTGCTGTCCCCCCCCCCCCCCCCGGCATGGATGCGTGTGCGTTCGGCCGGGCCCACCCGGGGAGAAGGAGAGAGAGAAGCTCGGGCACCGGCGCGCCGGCGCGGGGCGAGGGCAAGGTGGCAGGGGTCGGGCGCGCACCCGGACGCTCGCCCGCGCCCGGACGGCAGGCGGCCGACGCGGTTCGGGGCGCGGGCGGTGCCCCCCGAGAAAGGGGCCTCCGGCGACGTCAAAATCCCGTATCCTCGCGCGAGGGGGATGCCGAAAATCCCGCCGCCCAGTTAATGAGTAACGCCATTTGACTGAGCGTCGCGCTCTCTTCCCGGTGGGTCTTGCTTCCGGGATGCCGGGAAAAAGGGCCCCTATAAGAGGGCCCGGGGTGTGTGGCGCTCTCGCTCCGGCGCCGGGCCGTGGCATATTATTCGCAATCCAGGCCACTGACCGCACCCTTCCATATTCCCACTGGATGGGTGTGGTTCTTTTGGTCATGGTAGATCAACTGAGGTTTATTGAGAAAGAGCTTACCACGACCTACGTGGTATGCTTTGGTTGTGACCTCAAACACTCCCCCTTTTCTTGCCGAAATAATTGAACTTCAGCAGCGCTGCGCCGCGTCTTCTTGTGCTTGCTCCCTCCCCCTGCTGTGCCGCCCCTCCGGCAAGCAGCCGATCTCAAACCCTTTCCGAACGATCCGCCCGCCAAGTGTTGAGCGCAGCAAACCGAGAATCGCAGTGCCAGCTGTGCAAGTGAACATATCTTTCTTCTCTCTCCCTCTCTCTCTCTCTCTCCCTCTCCCTTTCTCTCTCTCTCCCTCTCTCTCTCTCCCTCTCCCTGTCTCTCTCTCTCTCCCCCTCTCTCCCTTTCTCCCTTTCCCCCCGTCTCTCTCTTCCTCTCACCCACACACCGACCTTTGTTTCCCCTCCTCGATCACGGCCTTGCTCCTCTTCTTTTTCGGGGGAGAGCTACATTCTGTTGTGGTACCAATGCGGACAGTAAACTTCCTGTATGTGTGGTAGCTGGTGTAGGGAGGGGGGAGCGGAATGTCCCCTCGGCACCCCCTCCTTCATTCTCCTCCCCCCTGAGGAGGGGTCCACCACTTGCATAGGCCAGATGGTGGTGCATTGAGCCCCAGAGAGGCGCAGGCCGACGGGGGAAAGAAAGGCCACAGGGAGTGACACCCGCCTTCTTAAGCGGCGTCAGCCTCGCGGAAGAAGAAGTCACTCCAGCGAGTGTACGCCCCGGACACCGGCAGCGGGTAGGTAGGCTCCTTCAGCGGAGCCGTCGCGCAATCCAGCCAGTAGTGGTTGCCCGGGTCCTTGCGATCGGCCAACTTACTGTGACGCATCAGGCGGCGGGCAAAGCGCGGACGAGGCGGGCGCGGGTGGGCCCACGAGAGGCGAGAGGGTCACGGGAGAAGGGCCAAAGTCAGCACGGCGCCCATGCATCGGCGGGCGAGGGCGTCCTTCGGACACCACACAGGCAGCATGCCCAAGCACGTACCGGAGCTTGACCAAAAGATCGTGAAGATCTCCCTCGCCGAAGGCCACAACGATGGGGTTGATGTAGTTCATGTAGCACGGGGAGGTGACGTCGTGCGAAAGATACCGCGCCTGGTCGTAATCGCGCCAGAAGTAGATCATGGACTTGGCCGGCCACAGGTAGGTGTTGAGGTAAACCTGGTGGGAGGGAGAGAGAGAGAGAGAGCGAGAGAGGGAGGGAGGCCCCGCAGCCAGATGTTAGGAAAGCCGAAGCCCGAGGGACAAGGGACGCGGCGCGAGGGCCGAGGGACCACGCACGGTTGGGTTGCGGCGCCAGCCGGCAATGCGCTCGAGCGGCGTGCGGTATTGCCCTTGGCGGATGTTGAGAACGGTCTTGGCAACCTCCATGGCTAAGCCAGGGAAGGTCCATGGTCAGAAAGGAATAGCTATGCGTGCATCCCACCCCCCCCCCCCCCATCATGCGCGAGGCAGAGGGAAGCAAAAGAAAAAAGGGGGAAGGCCATGCAAAAGATGTGGGGGCATCCCAGAAAGACGCACCAGCCTCGGCCTCCGACAGCCAGGCCTTCCGGCGGCCGGTGTTTCCTTCGGACCAAGTGGACGCATAGTCGAAGAGGGCCCGGACCTGAAGGGCCCGGACGGCGGTGATCTCCATCGAGTCGACGATCTCCTCGACCAGCGAGCGGCCAAGAGGCGAGATGCGCGAGAGCAGCGAGGCCATGCGCTTGGTGTAGTCGTTGAAGACGACGTCCATGGCAACTGAGGGCCGTCGCCACGAAGAGCCGTGTGAGTGGCAGGCAGTGTGTGTGTGCGAGAAAAGAGAGAGAACGAGCGAGCAAGGGCGAGAACAGGGGAAATCATGAACAGGAACATCGGCCCGGAGACACGAGACCCTGGGCCCGGGCACCGGTATCCCGCCTGGCTGCGAAGAAGGGATCCCCGTGGAAGGGGGGGGGGGGGGGGGGGGGGGG